CTTCACAAAGTCACAGTCCTATGCCAAGTGTCAGAACTGGGGCCAGAAGTAGAATTTTCACTCCCAATCGGAGGCACCCACACTTCCATGAGGGCAGAGGGGTAGCAGGCACCTTCGAGGCAGAGTAGATGGCACCAGGATGGGAATGTGACACACATGCTATGAGAGAAGAGACAGGGCCACTGATGTGGCCACCTCTGTAGCTAGGAAAAGGGAGAAGATCAAAAAGCAAGTGGCCTCTGCCAGGCACATTCTCTGCACCCTGGCTTCGCATTGAGAACATGCATGATAAACATAGAGATTCCCTTCCTGTCCTCTAGATGTGTGCACTGTTTGTACATTCTTCTTCACAGGCAAAGTGAGTACTGTCACTGCTCCTATTTTGCAAGTGAAGCTCAGGGACAGCCCAGAACCACTGCAGCTGTTTCCATGCCCCTGTGAGGCTGACAGAGCAGGAGGCAGAGCATTTACTCAGATGCTATCAAAGATGTGAATTACAGCAAAATAACAGGCTGAGATTGCAGTGTGGGCCTTTTTGGTAAAGTACAGCCTAGGCCCAAGCCCAGACAGTTAATGGGTCTTTAGGTAGGAAGGCCTAGAAGGGCAAAATTGGGGAGAAAATGCAATGAAGCCATGTTGGCTAAGACTGATATCCACTGCAAGGGCAAGACCTTGAGGCCAACAGTACTTAGAGACTGAGGCAGACTGAGGAAAAGGAAGAAATGTGCAAGCAGGCTGAAGCCAGCCTGCAAAGGAGCCACTTCTTGGTGGTCAGGAGCTGGGAGAGAAAATCCAGAGCTGGAAAGAGGCCCCATGCTTAGGCAGCTGTGTTCCACCCAGATGGGCTGGGACTGGAGCAGGAAGGTAACTGAGCAAGGCAGAAACACTCCTGGGCTCCCAGCCCCCACCGCACTTGCTCTTCTGCCAACTGGCAGCAGATTCTGGGTGATTCTGTTCCAGCTCAGGGCTCAAATGTCACCCTTAAGTGGAAATAGAACAGGTCACTAAGGACCTGAGAGAGCTACATACTTGGGATGGGAGCCAGAAGATGGATGGTGGCTGATGTGTGAAGGGTGGGTACAGGGATGGAGCTCTGTCTCAGGCCACCCTTAGTGCAGTGGGGCTGCCTAGTCTAACTGCTCAGGAGACTCAACACCTATAAACTTCTACCAGGAGCTTGGGGTCTGCATACACCCCAAACCTCCCAATTGCTCGTGGGAATAATAAAACACACCTTGTGGGGCATTATGACAACTAATTTATATATATATATATATATATATATATATATATATATATAGATGTAGATTTTTTTAAAAATATGATGTCAAGATGTGCTTAACAAATGACAATTACTGTCAGTCTCATTTAAGAACAAAATACACCAGGCATGATAGCATGTGTCTATCATCCAAGCTCCTCAGGAGATTGAAGCATGAGGATCACAACTTAGCTGAACAACTGAACTGAGACCCAATCTCAAAAATAAGAAATAAGAAGAAAGCAAAAATTTACTAAAGGATGAAACTGGAACTCCACTCATTTATGACCCAAATTCCTATTTTTGTCACACATGCCATGCACAGTTGCACTGCCTCAGAGAGGGTTAACAGTGCACACATCTAGAGGACAGGAAGGGAATCTCTGTATGTTTATCATGCATGTCCTCAATGCAAAGCCAGGGTGCAGAGAAGGCCACGCAACAAGGGAGAGGGAAAGAGAAGAGAAACAAGATAGAGAGGTGGAAGGCAGGGACAGAAGCACACTGTCAGCAGTCAGCTCATTCCCAAAGACTGTAGGGGCAAAGGAGGGACACCACAGACTACCTTGCCAATCCTACTCACAGAAAGGGACAGTGAGCCTCAGACAGGGGATTCTTCTGCCCAGGATCACACAAGTTAGTGATAAGACCTGGAGTCACACACCACCCTCAGAATGTCCCCAAATCTTGCTCTTTCCAAAAGGCTACCTGGGGAGAACAAGAAATCACCAAGAAGCAAATCTTCCCTGAGAATCAGCACCATGCACAGCCTGCTGAGGGGATAGCCAGACCCCAGCCTCTTCCAATGCATGGGCTGGGAACACCCACCCTACCTCACCCCACCCCGTAAGTAATCATCTGATCTGGAGAAACACAGGCTGAGAGGATAGCTATTGAGGTGAAATACAATTTGAAGCTTGTGGTGTCTGGGGTTTCACTGACTTTGCAGGTCTAGGGCCAGTAGTCTGATCATCTATTCAGAGGATAACAGTACACAGTATGGCATCTATGGGGAATTTCCTTCCGAAGGTGGTAACCATTATTAATTCCCTATTATCTTGTTTTGAAGTTTCATATTCTTTTTATTGTATTGCTGGGCTGGGTTTTATTTTGTTTTGTTTTGTTTAATTTTGTTACGTCCAATGGCATGGGCAGCTATTTCAAAGACAATAAGATGTATTATGGTAGCCATTTTGGATTTACTATTGTAGTGTTTTGAAGTCCTTTATTGCATTGATTGTTTTGTTTTTATTGGTTTTATTTTGTTCTGTTTTATTTTTACTAGGTCTAAAGGTATAGGCAGTTATTTTGAAAACAACAAAAGGCATTATACCATTGTTGATTTCCTATTGCTTTGAAGTCCTGTATCACTTACACTGCTTTGTTTTGGTTGGCTTTATTCTGTTTTATTTTGTTTGGTTTTATTGTCTTTAAATTAAAAATAATTTTTTATAAAGGCTACCTGGATTTATTTTCCATTATAGAAAAAAAGCCAATGTGTCTCAGCTTTCACAGGAAAAAATAGCCAAGATTTATCTATCTCCAGGGTTGCAAAAGTCTAGACCCCTCTTTTGCAAGCACCCTTCTTTGCTCTTGGGGCTGCTTTCAAGCAGGGAAGGCAGCAGGCTCCTTGGGGCATCTGAGAGAGACAGAGGGCAGGCTGAGAGGAGCCAGAAGCACAGCTGAGTGGAGGAGAGGCCATGCAGACAGGGCTGGGAGTGGGCTACGCCTATAGAAGGGCTCTGAGTGGTGCTTGTGCCCCTCCAGAAGGCAAGTCAGGTTGGGCCAAAAACCAGCAGTGGTCTCCCCAGCATTGTCAGATACAGGCTCACTGGCACATGGTTTGGGAAGTGTGTGAGAAGGGAACACTTTAATTACTGTGCTGCCTAGAAAGCTCAATACCACCAGGTCCCCTGATGTTGTGGAGTAATGTAAGACCCCAGGGAGCTCTCACCTTACCCAACCCTGTAAAATGGGTCTCCCTATATCCAAGTGGGTGAGGGCAGAAACCACAGCTGCTCTGCTCTGCATCCAAAGACCCTAACCAATGCTATCTCTGATTAAAAATAGCAAAGATTGTGCTAGGGGCAGGAAGGGCACCAGGGCTAGGATGGCCAGATACTACAATCAGGGCCCCGAGGGCAAGGGCAACCTGGAAAGAAAGTCACAGCCGGCCCAAGTCCCTCACATGACACTCAGTCTCTCTTACTTGTTTTTATTCCCTTTCTCTTTCTTCCCTGAAAGGTTGAGGGGATTAGAGTAGAGTACTCCTTACCCAGTCCCCATGCAAGCCGGCTTTGAGGGAGCAAGGTGGCCCAGGAGGCAACTAGGAGGTGAGAAAACACTAAGTGGTTTCATCTTTGGCAAACAAAAAAAGTAAAGGAAGACCCCACCTTGTTGAGGGGAAAAAGAAAAGAAAAATCACAGTTCCGGAAAAAAGGCTCAGAAACAATGTGAAAGAAAGTACAACAGCTCTTTTTAAATCAAGCAATTTTAATCAAAATAGATCGAAGAACTGAACTCCAGGACTATTCAGTTCCTTTTAAACCTGCAGCCTGAGTTCCCAACCCTCCCTGATAACCGGAAATCATTGCAACATTTGTCTCACTGATCTATGATCACATTGATCTTTATCAATGTGACTGTGTTATTGTTTGTGTCTGTATGTCCCCTTGAAAGCCTCAAGGCATCATGGGGGTGGGCTTCTAGAGTTTGTGACTGATTCATGGTCCAATGCTGGGATTATGGGGGTGAGTGCTACACCCACCCTAGGGTGGGTAGCCTGCACACAATATAAGGAACAGAAAGTCTTCTCTCGTGCTCCTGCCTTTTGGCTCTTGTTGCTTTTGCTGTCTTCTGCTGCCATAAATTGTTTTGCTCTGCTTTGGAGTCATAAACCTCCACAAACTATGTGTTAAATAAACCTTTCTTTTTTTCTTTTTTTTTTTTTTTTTTTTTGTACCGAGGATCAAACTTATAAGCTTGCTAGGCAGATACTTATGCTGCTGAGCTAAACTCCTGCTTCTCTTCTTTAATTTTGGGCATCAGGTATTTTGTCTTAGCAGCAAGAATAAAGTAACCAACACAGACTGTGTTCTTTTTGCCTAGGTTGGTGAAACATGTAGGTCACCAAGGTTGACAGATAAACAAACTTTACATATGGCATGGGCAAAACACAGAAGACGAACTTGAACCTAAATCATATACTCTGCTGCTTGTTCTGTCCCACCATTCTCCAAGACAGCCAAACAGACATGGCAGTACAGACATTGAGGCATAACTCAGGTTATGCCATGACATGGACACCAGCCAATCCACCAGTTGCCCAAAAAGCCCAGCTCCCATGCTCCAAATCCCTGCTTTGCCATCAAAGACGACACACCAGACCTTACGTACTTAAGAGACTGATATTTGTCCTTCTGCCTTTTGTCAGGGAAAAGATGAGTCCATCTTTTATACCTGCCTATTGCAAGAGCTGAGAATAAGTCCCAGATTTATCTAGAGAAAGACAGAAAGGAGTTGTTCAGTGAGTTCTAAATTCATCTCCTCTTGCCCTACCAACATGTAGACTCATCAAAGGCAGGAATCTGTAATTGCCATGCTATAGCACCACGACCACTTTGCATAGAGCTTATCTTATACCAAGCACATCTTAAGTATTCAGGAACAAATAGCAGGCTTACCCACTCTGCCCCAGCCTACCTTCTCCAGCCCTAGAAACCACAGACAAAAGGCCTACCTCTCCATACTGGGTGCAGTAAGTCTCAGGCTTGGTCAGTCCACAGGTGGATGAAGCTTGGAGGAACTGGGTTCTCCCAATCAACAAGTCTCCAACCGGTGGGTAGCAGGCCCCACGGGAGCAGGCATTTTGGGCATGCAGGAAGCCAGGCAAGGCTGAAATCACAAGGGAATACTGGGATACAGCCAAAAGAGAAGGATGTAACTGGCCACCCAACATCCCTGGGAGACCTGGCAGGACAGGACCTTCTCCTTAACTTTGTGCTCCCACCCCCAGCTGGTAAGTGTAGCTGCAGTCTTCATACTGCTGGGTGAGGAAGTTTGATCCTGTCTTCTAGCACCAAACTTAAAAAGGAGAGAAGAAACACTGACAACCAAAAACCACAGTGGTTCTGAAATGTGACATCTACATGTGATTTTTAAAGTCAAGTCAGAGATACACTGGGGCCCCAAGACATGGCCCATTCACTTTTCACCTGCGGAGCATCTCTGGACAGGCGTTTGTAGAACACTGTGGGGGGTCTCCCTCCTGCTTTATCTGCAAAGTTGGCCTAGCCATGGTATGCAAGTACCCAGCTACCATTCAGTGGGAAATGGAGAACTCCAGCCGCAAAATCAGTGTGAGAGTGAGATGATGCGAATCTCAAAATGCAGACCACTCAGAAACCACAAACTACCCTTAGGTAGAATAAGCAGATTCTTGGGGGCCTTTCAAGAAAGGCATTCCCATAGGCCCAAAGGAGTGGGGAACCCTAACAGGTAGTCCCATTAGACAAGTGTTCCAAACCTTAGGGATGACAAGTAAATCTCTGGCCATCACCTCTCTGCTACAAAACAGGATGTGAAAAGGGACACTCACCGAAAAACAGGAGAAGGACTGCCCTCATCATCAGCAAATGGGGTGATCCCCACAGGGGACCTTCACCTGGGACAGAGCAAAGCAGCCTGAGTAAGATGGTACCCTTGTCCCTTTCCTTTTCTGCTCTGGTCTCATGTTTTCTCACGAGTTTTTACCTAGTTACCCAGGGACTGCACTGAAGACACTCCTGAGTAGTGAGTGCATGTGTGGCCCCTCCACCCCATTTCAGCTAGTAAGTGACTCAGACGCCCCCTTCCAGACTTCAGCTTTGTCCTCTGAAATGGGTGGGCCTTCCATGCCACAATGCCCTAAAGACAATATGAAGAGATGAAAGCGGCAGTGCCCTTTGCAGGAGAAGAGCTCCCGGGAGGCCTCAAAGCTTTTGTCTGCTTCAACAAAGAGGGCTGCACTTTCTCAGGCATGGACAGTAACCTCAGTCCAGCCCAGCCTACTGGCCCCAAAGTGAAAGGCTGGTGTGGTTGAGGCCCCGGAGGCAAGCTCTCTCCTCCTTCTGCATCATCTCCAGAACATCTGAGGGTCACACGGGTAGACGGTGAGGCCGTGCTGACCACAAGTCTAAGCGGACAGCTGAGTGCAACAGGGGGAGATGGGACTGGCAGTTAAAAAACAAAGTGAGAGATAATTTCATCTGAACTAAGAGCAGCCCAAAATGTCTCCACTTATGAGCTAGGATTCTGAAGACTGAAGCTGGAAATGGAAGCTTAAAAGTCACAGCCCAGGTCAGAGGCAGACAAGCTCCAGGTCTGCTCTTACGCTGTCCCTATGCCCAACTGAACGGCAGCTCTGCCCTGTGAGAGCTGCACACTCCCTTGGTTGAGGGCCTGGGGTGGGGTTAGCAGGCCAGGGGCAGAGCTGGATCTGCAAGCCTTTCTGGCACCTGTCAATCTTAATGCTTCAAAACCCTTCCTTCTAATACACCCCCAGGAGAGGCAAGAGTTCAGTGTGGGGACCTGCGGCCCTGAAGTCCTGTGGCTGGTGATGGCCTAAGAGAGGGACCCGCCTCCTGAGTGACTCTGTACTCCCAATCCTGGGCTAGAAATCCCCCCAATGGGTCCTCAGAGCCAGGGCAGCATTCCTCCCCACTTCTTTTTTGTGCTCACCCAGATCTGAAAGTGCTTTTTTCTAAAAAGCACTTATCAGATAAGAAAAAGCAATCCATAACACTCAGACATTTTATCCAGTGTTCCCAGGTGAGCTCACTCCGGGAACTCCTAGGACCAAGAATGAACGTGGCCCTGCCCAGGGGCTCCAGGTGCCCAGGGCCAGCCTTCTCCTACCTTGCCCTCAGGGTAGACAAAGACAGGAAGGCACCTCTTACCTTGCTGGGTGCTGCTGCTGTTACTTCTCCAATGGCGTCTCAGAGAGCTCCCTTGAAAAGTAGGGGTCTTCTCTCTTGGCTCAGAGGTTTTAAACAACAGCCTCACCTCTGGAGACTCCCTGGCTGGGTGTAACCCCACAGCAGGCGGGCCTCAGTCTGGAAGCTGTCACGCCCATCCACCGTCACTGCACCCCACCCCAGGACAGGACTGGGCAAGTGGGTCAGTCCCAGAGGCCATGAAGCAAGCTCCACAATGTCTACCTGCCCTGTAGGTGCCTTGAGGGCTATAGTGGGCCACTGCAGACAGAAACACCAGGCAAATCTTATTGAAAACTAGAGAGCAGGATACAGGGGCCGTGCTGGCACTGCACCTAGCATTGTCTCAAGAAGGCCGGGAGGGGTCAGCTTCCCTCATGTGTCCCGGGACCACCAGGGACAGAAAAGCAAGCAGAGGCACAAAGGCTAGAGCCTGGACACAGGGTTGACACCCCACCTATGCCACTGGTCCAGACAGTGAAAGACCCAAATGTTCACGAGTCTGGAAAGTACCAGATACCTCTACAAGAGAAAAAAAAAAAAAAGGAAGATCCTGGATTCTCGGGAAATTTGAAGGATTCTTACATGGATCAGGAAGGGGCTCAAACTCACCGCCGCCTAGGGCAGTTTGACAGGAATGAACAGAGGAACAGAGGGTTGGCAGGCAGCCAAGGACAGGTAACTGCCTGTGAGTCACAGCCCAGCTGAGCCCCACCCTCCTGAGCTGGAATGCAGGCCTGGAGGGGAGGGAAACAACCCTGGCCACAAGTGCTGGAGGGAAGGCTGAGGCACAGCTTTGTAAGAGTCATAGCAGCCTCCCACCAGTGCCCCAGCAGGCCCCAGCTGGCTCCTGGCCCTGGACTGAGAACCCCACATGGAACAGAAATAGGTCCAGTTTACTGGCGTGGTGCTTAGAGCACTCTTTCCCCAGCTTGGGCCAGCAGGACTTTCAGGAGACCTAGGAAGTCACTCAGTTCCTGGGCTGGCCCTGGAGAGCCACACGGGCATCATTTGGGAACACTCCTGCCTTCAAGTTGCAATGCAAAGGAGATCTTTTACCTATCCCAACATCATTAGTCTCTCCCACAGAAGTCCTCTGCCACTGGTAGGCTATGCCCAAAATCCTGGCAGAAGAAACCTCAAGGGAAAAATGCAGGCTTCTATGGATTCAACTGGGCCTGTCTGACTCCTGGCTTCTAATTAGCACATGTTTAGGGGTGGGGAGGAGGACTGAAATTAACCAATATGCAGCAAGGTGTTTAGATGCTTAACTGAGACTCCAATAAACTGTCTTTTCTGCTGTAAGCATAGCAATGAAATCTGGCCTAGTTCAGCAATCCAAAGACAAGTGCAAACAGACTCCCTTTGCCCACCCCACAGAACACAAAGGGACCCCATCCAGTCCCCTGCAGGAAAGTGGCCCTGATGACACTTCAGTGTTTTGAAGTTTCCCACCTGTGGTCTCCTTTTCTCCACTCCCCGAAACCCTTGAACTCAAGTGGAAATCTTTGTTACCAGAGGATATGACAAAGAGCTCAATAATAATTAACTCAGCCAAGAGGGCAAGTGTTGCAATCCCAGACTAGGCAGGCAGCAGGCCTCACCCTGAGTGGTTGGGACCCTGTAAGTCTCCTTTCCCCCCTTGCCAAGACCAAGAGCCCAGGGAAATAAGCACTTGGTGTCTCAGACAGCACAAGCTGGGGCAGATCCTACTGGTTTGGCTTTGCAGAAAGAAAACATCAACTGCTCCGCAGGGAGGGGGACAAACTTCCCTTTGCAGTTCAGGAAACTGCTCATGTGGACCTGCAAGCATGGCCCTATTCTTCAGGGACATGGGTCACTTCCAAGTCCAAGTCCAGTACCCCAAGAAGTGCAGGCAACAGTACAAGCTTTGGGGGCATCAACGCCCACGGTGTTCAGAGATGACTACCTATACCAGAGCCCATGGCTCTTACTATGGACAACCATGGCTAATGGAGAACAGGGTACATGTCCCAAATATGCCAGCTCCTCTGTATCCCTGCAAGCCACCTCCCTGCTCCAAGCACTCATCTTCATAAAGCTTGAGCTCATCAGAACTCAAGCACAGGAAACTGCAGGTGAAGTCATCTTTGACTCGTGTTTTTGTTGCATTCACATCAACCTACCAGCAAATTTGGCTCTGCCCCTTCCGAAAGTAACAGAATCCACTTCGAACCTCCTGGCTGAGCCTGTCTGCCCCGGACTTCTGGAACTGGTCTTCAGCCAAAACCAAACACAACAGGCCACTTACTTCCCCATTTAGAATTCTGCACATTCTCTCTCTCTCTCTCTCTCTCTCTCTCTCTCTCCCCTCCCCTCTCTCTCTCTCCCCTCCCCTCTCTCTCCCTCCCCTCCCTTCTCTCTCTCTCCCCTCCCCTCTCTGTCTCTCTCCTCCCCTCTCTCTCTCTTTGTCTCTCTGTGAAACCCAAAACCCTTACCATTAATCTGTAACCCTTACCACATTACTACCCCCTGCCATCTGGGGCCCTAGCTACAGGTCTCTGCTCTGCTTCCAAACTGCCAGGCCTGCTTCAGTTCTCAGCTCCTATCCTCCAGCTTGCAATGCTCCTCCCCTGGACAGCTGCAAAGCTAACTATCACTGTGTTCCAAGTCTTTGTCCAAATCCTAACTGCTCAATGAGGGCCACCCTGACCACCCCACACCCATTTAAAATTACCAACAACTTCTCTGCCAGGCATGAATCGCTTCCCTACCCTTAACACTCCCAATCCCACCTACCATGTTACTGGTGGGTTTTTAATTTTTTTTAATTTTATATTTTTGGCAACATCACCTTCTACCCAATTACGCAATTTACCTACTTGTCATGTTTACTTTCCACCCTTCAGCAAGAAAGCAGGTTGAAGAAAGCAAGGATTATTGTCTATTTTGCTCACTAGAGTTTTCCAAGTACCTGGCGTATGATTGCTGCTTGATACTTATGGAATGAATGGAGTCACACTGAAGGACCAGTAACGGATATCATTTAATGAGTTCCTCTCACCATCTTTGCCCAGCTGCATCTTCACAGAGGCAGTGCACAAGAATGTGTCTCTAACAATGGGAGTGCATGCACTGGCCAGCTCCAGTGAAATCTAACCCAGATTTCAGAACTGTCACCGTGTCAGCACAGGTGGTATCTTCCCTTGCCTGCTCTCCTGGCAGTGTGTATGATGAACCGCCAGGGTAGAATTAGAAGCTGTTGTCTGCATTATCCATCTGTCAGGCACAAGCTGTGTAAGCTGCCAGGGGGCTCAGCCAAGATCTGATCAGTAAGCAATCACAGAACAGGGATCAAAGAAAGGAGACAGAAGGAAGAAAAGCTGGACAGATTGGAAAAGGAGAAGACAGCCTGCTCCCGCTGTGACGCTCGTGTGTGAAGGAAGGGCTCCAGTGACTAAGGCTCAGGCACCATCTGCACACGGTGAGTCACAGTTGAGTCCTCACCTGTGGGACAGGGTGGGCTCCAGCAATGGTAATGGTGATGTGCGTGTGACAAAGGCTGGCGTGGCCCTGCACTTCGGCTGTCCAGACAGTGGACACCTTTGAGTGTGCCTCCCTGGGAAGCAGAGAAAGAAGTAGACTTTAAAATGCTGTGAGATGCAGATGAAAGTCAGTGTCCAACAGGGGGCAGCAGCAGGCAGGACAGGACACTGCCATAAAGTGACTTCACGCCACACCTTCCCTCTCCCTCACCCTCACCTTCACCTTCACTTGCCCAACCTGAATGTCTGCCTAGGGAACACCCACACCCAAGCTTGGGCCTGAGGTCTTGCATACACTGGGCAGTCAGCCCACTATAACTAGAGGTGATATCTGTGGAGCACTCTGTGTGTGCCAGGCAGTGTTCTAGGCCCTTTCCATGTGTTAAACTCTTTCATGTCCACCATGACCAAAGCAGGATCAATTTTTCGGGCCTTTACTTTGCAGATGACAAAAATGAATCCTATGACCTGATGCTTGAAGCTCTGGTCCTCATGTTCTTAATGGCTACCGGGAGCTGGTGATATTCCCCATCTCCTGAGCTCTCCATCTCCACCCTCCCTAGTCCATGATGGCCAGAGTGATTCCAAGAGATTCAGAATTTCATGTCTCCTAAATGGTCTAAGACGTGACACGTCAGAACTGCTTCATGCCCTTGTCCAACCTTTACAGCATTGGTATTGGCTGGGGCTCCAGAGATGGTACTAGTGCTGTAGAAACATCTAAAACAGGCACCACCAGGTCCCCCCAAGAGCCACCTTTTCTTTGTGAGGGAATAGATAGCAGGTGCTGCCTCAGTGCCTCCTCTCTCAGCCTCTGGTGGCAGTTTCCTTCTCTCACTGACAGAGAGCTGCTCCAGATGACAGGAACACACAAGGAGGGCGAGAAAACAGCATATGGAACTGCGGAGACATTGTGGCATCCCGCAGACTAAGCCCAGGGCATGACACGAGGATGACACAACTTCCTTTGTCAAAGGATGGGGATCTCCTGCTGGAGGTCAGGCTCCTGGCCACCTCCGCACCTCTGCTGTCCCTCAAAGTGCACCTATGTGGCACATCCTCCTAAGAAGCACAGCTTAGCGTCATCAGCAGCTTGGTGGAGCTGGGCCTGGATGCTGGTCCAAGGCTGGCCAGGGCTGGTCCAGGGTTGATTCAGAGCTGGCCAGCTCCCTGAAAAGAGGGAAAGGTATCTGGAGGCTCCTGCCACTTCCACCCCTTCCCAGACTCCCAACCTTCCACCCATGGACAGGCCAGCCCATCGCCCTGCCGCACCTCCACCTTCCAATTGCTCTGCCTCCACTCTGCTCAGCCCCTGACCTCTGAGAATCTGAGTCCGGATTTGACGAACTTCAGCCAAGGATTTGCTGTTTGGAGCTGGCTATGTGGACAAAGACATATATCTGTAGGTGCAGGGAAGGGGCAGTGTGGATCCCCGGGCAGTCAGCACATCCAGGGGAGTGGGAGACAAAGCATGCTTGAGAGCCAGGCGAGACACTCCGTCCTGAGATCTGCTCCCATGCTATGGAGGGCTGCCCTCAGGACTTTAGAATCCTAAATCTGCCCATGGAAGAGCCACTAGGGAGGCAAAGTATAAGACCTAGTGTTCAGATTGGCATCTGTGGGCTGGTATGAAAAAGTAAGCTTCTTGCAATTTGCCTGGAGGCAGTGGTGGTTTAGGACAGTGCATCTGGCTGCCTATCTAGAGGCAGTACCATCAGAGGGCTTTCAACTGGTACCTCCTACAATGCCATGGCCACACCGGGGTCTGAGTATGGACTTCACTTGGCTCCATCTCTGCTGTTCAGTAGAAGAAAAACCTTGGGAAAGCTTAGATCTCCAAGGGAGCTCAATGGGAGAACATATACTTAGTATGCACTGGCACTGTGTTCCAGTCCAGCATCACAGAAAAATCAAAACCCATAACTCCGTGGGAATACCCCTCTGCAAGCTTCACTCTCATCCTCTGCAAATAAAGGGGTTGGATCCTCCTGGTTCTTACCCAGCCTGCTCTTCAGGGTCAGTTTGAGAACTGAAAATGTCATAGACCAAGGCCAGGCCAGACATCATCCAGAGATTTTGATGGCTCACAGATGTTTTAACAGATCCTCAGGGGGCCTGGGGCACAGCCAGGTTTGGGGACTACCGAACCCCCTCCAGCTCTAGGATGCTCTGCCCTTAGCAGTGGTGGTTTAGGACAGTGGTTAAAAGCCCAGATTTACAGTGAGAGGGATGAAGGCTCAGCTGCAGTTCTGCACTCACTAGCCAGGTGGATTCAGACACCTTCGTTGACTTCTGGAAGGCACATTCCTGCAGTGGGAATCATGACAAACATCACAGAGCTCGTGAAGATAAAGTCCACAGGCGAGTTTAATTGTCAGTGAAGCACCTGCTCTGCAGACAGCACTTCCACCCAGATGTTTAACACCTCGTGTGCCAGGTAGTGAGCATCCTTAAGCTGCTCCCCAGACCCTTTGTGTATCTACCCTATTCCTTGGGGATGGCAAACTCCCCATGGGCCATGGCCTGGACTAGAGGGAAAAGAGCCCTTGGAGCAGTCCACCCCTAGTGTAGGGGAGTGGGGCTAAGCTCCTGGCCTTCCTGGACAGGAACAAGACAAAGGGCCCTGGCAGGGGAGGGAATGCTTGCAAACACAGAGGACAGAGGGCAAAGGAGCCACTGTGGCCTTCAAGAGACAGTAAAGCTGGAGTCCAACACCTGATAATGATCACAGTCAGTGCCAGGCTGGACAGCAGTGTGCAGCGAGCGCACAAGTGCCCAGCACGTCGGAGGCACTAAAGAAGAGCAGTTTCCTCATCCAGGGCTTCTGCCCTCACCCATCAAAGCCTGCTCAGTTTCCCATCACACAGGGTAACGGGTGCTCAGCCGCTTCATTCTTCCCCTTAGAACAAAACTCAAAACTGACCCGCTTTGGATCTGAGACAAACAGGATTTCACAGCTGTGAAAAATGTTAATAAGCCACTTGGTGGTGAGGGTAACATGCATCAAATCTACTTAACTCTGAAGGGAAAAAAGCTCCTCGGGGAGAGAATATCCAAAAATGTTAGTGTTTTACATCTCTTGATGTTTCTCTGTGGTTTCCTCTTCTTCCACAACGAGCTCATTTTAGTAGAAGAGTCAGTGACAGTGAGAAACACCGAGGACTGTGACTTGTGTCTACAGCAGGTCACCCCAGTGACCTCTTCCTCCCTCCTTCTCCCCGGGGCTTCACCTGAGCCTCCTCCAGGGACCTACAGTCCAACCTCTGGAGAGCCTGTGCTGTAAACCTTCTCTACAGCAGTAGATTTTGTAATATGTGGTTTCCCTTTCCTAAACCACACTTTCCAGGGGCCGTTAGATGCGTTACGTCAGTGGGGCATTTGACAGTTCCTCAGTAATGCTGCATGCTGACAACCATGCATAGGGCGGAAGGAAAGAACGCTGGGTGGGAGAGATGGAAGGAGAGTACAAACTGTGACGTGTAGTGACCCGTATCTGCCCTTGCTGCCTCATGACTGTACCAGGGAGGACCACAAAGAACCAAGTCGATTCTCATTCATATGTGCTGAAGAGAGAAAGAAGCAAGGATAACTAAAATTACTACCTAACTGAAAGGATAACTGAAATTATTAACAAACTTGCTTCTCTCAGTAGAAGGCCACCTGATTCTGATTTTCCTCACTGCTCACCCAACTTGTATTGCCAGCATCTCACGCTGTTCAAGTACACTTGTGCATGTTTATGAGGGTGGCGTTACCCCTTCATCTCTCTCATGT